GAAACATTAGACTGAATCATGACTATTTTCATAGCTTAAGAAACATTAGGCTGAATCATGACTACTTTCATAGCCTAAAGAACATTAGACTGAATCATGACTATTTTCATAGGTTAAAACATTAGGCTGAATCATGACTACTTTCATAGCCTAATGAACATTAGACTGAATCATGACTTTTTCATAGCTTAAAGAACATTAGACTGAATCATGACTATTTTCATAGCCTAAAGAGCATTAGATTTAATCTGTTGGTTAAATTCAGGTTTACTAATCAGATTCTCTGTGACTGATGTCCATAACAGGACATCTCTGTTCTGTTGGTTAACTTCACATTTACTAATCTGATTCTCTGTGACTGATGTCTATAACAGGTCATCTCTGTTCTGTTGGTTAACTTCACGTTTATTAATCTGTTGTATGATAGCTTATCAGACATGATATAAAAATTTAAAATGATATTTTCCATGAAATTGTAAGGCATTCTGTGTAATGCCAAGCTGACAAATCATGTCTTCTTTATCCTATATTTAGCCTTATAAATTGTGTTAATTGAAAGTATTATTTTTTCTTTTACTTAGTGTAAAATTCCCATGACTGTTTTGTAGCAACAACACCCGGCCTTGTAATGTTCTAACTGTTTTATGACACTTGTCAGTTCATTAGATGAAAAGTACAATGAGCAGTCAGTCAGAAAATGTGTATGTCAAAATATGATGATATTCCTTTTTTTTTTGGTATGTCCACTAACTATTTTTAGAAAATTCTTAGAAAAAAATCAAATATATATCGGGTGAGAAAAGCTGAATTACAAGTAATGACAACAGAAGAGAAATGGACAAACATGATTTTATAAAAATTATAATTAACTGGACACTGTGGTTCCATCTGGTGATTATTATTTGCACAACTTTAGCCATATGTCAGTAATATTAAAAAGGAAGGCACTTTGATAACCAGTAGTTTAACTTGTTTTTTTATAAATGATACATACTCTTCTAAGAATTAATGAACTCCCTTCTAACTTTCAAAACTGCTTATATTAATAAACAGTCAACAGTGTTCATTTCAAAAATCCAGAAGCAGAGTAAATAAAATATGAACTCGTCTCATACTTCTACATCCTCATCTTCTTCAGCCAGCTGTTTCTGATAAACTATTGCTGGTGCTGCTGTGATACGCAAGTCAAAACGAGAAACAATGGGAACAAGGAGAACGGTATCGTCATCATCTTCGCTGAGTCGAAGTCCTGGAGGTTTCTTATTCCATTCGACAGCAGGATTTTCACCCATACTGGTCATAAGCTGACTGGATGTCTTCTCAGTCCTAAGTCCACTGTACTTCACTATGCTTGACCAATTCACTATTAATATTATTTATAATGTTATGTCTACTAACTCCACTATGTAACAAACTCGCACACTGTTTCAATTTATAAAATAAGTAATTAATTCTGTTGAAACTATTTACAACTCCTGTATTAATTTTTAATAAGGAACCAGTTGAGCTCAATAATTAATTCCCAAAAAAAATTAAAGGAACTTTTACGGCAGGTAAGTTATGATTTTAATATTTACAACATTTTGACTCGTAGTATCTGATAATCATCAGGTAAGAATTACATTCAAAACGTACTTTTACCTGATCGTGACCCAATACTATGGGTTAAAATGAATATTGTCAAAATCAGAACTCATTTACTATAAAAAGTTGTAATTAACCTCCTGTATTGTTTTGATTTACAAAACTAGAAATTAATTCCAGTGACACAACTAAAACTTCCAAACAGTTTCAATTTATAAAAGTAGGAATTGATTCTACTGACACAACTAACAAACTCTTGAACTGTTTCAATTTATAAGACTAATAAATACCACTGACACTCTTAATAAATTCTGTTGGTTTAAAAGACAAGAAAGTAGATAATGTTAAGCGATTCCCAAAGATTCGATCTACAAGAAAATCTTATTCTGTTGGCAATGTTAAAAAACTGTTTTAACATATATGTACCAGACGAAAATTTCAATGATAACGTTTGAAAAATTCTGTTTTTACAAGACATTAATAAAGGTACATAACAACTCACTCTTTGTTTCAAACTGTAAAAATCAGTAATTCTTTGATAATAATAAATTAGATTGCTTCAGAGATAGAGTCAGTAAATTTACTGTAGTTCCTATTTTGTACCTAACTAAAAAGTAAATGATACTGTAAGAGTTGTATTCACTATGATTCTAATCAATGTCTTAACATTTATTGTTAGAGCTTTAGAACCAATTTAAGAAGACAACCAGCTGATCAGCATTGCTCTTACCATAAATACAGAATATTAACACTAAAATACTACATTTTTAGATGATATGGAGATACATGTAGAAACTATAAAAGAAACAAAGTTTTGCAGTGTGGATGATCAGTGGACAGTAACGGTCATGTTTGTTACTTTGCTGAAATACAAAGTTTTACAGCATGAATGATCAGTGAACAGTAAAGGTTATGTTTGTTAGTTTGCTGAAATACAAAGTTTTACAGCGTGGATGATCAGTGGACAGTATAGGTCATGTTTGTTAGTTTCCTGAAATACAAAGTTTTACAGCATGAATGATCAGTGGACAGTAAAGATCATGTTTGTTAGTTTGCTGAAATACAAAGTTTTACAGCATGAATGATCAGTGGACAGTATAGATCATGTTTTTTCAGCAAACTAACTTCAAAGTTTTACAGCATGAATTATCAGTGGATACTATGTCAAATCATTAAAACAGAGAAATATGAATTTGTTATTTGTCACTGCATTCTTCTGTGTTTTAATGTTAAAATACTGACATACCTGTACTGAAACTAATGCCCTGGATGTCCAGCTGATACTGACGATCCTCTATGTCCGAACCCGGTATTCCTGATGTTCCTCTTCTCTGAGCTGTTACAAACAAGTCTTTTCTAAGAATGTTTCGAGATAAGGGGTTATCGGCTTGAGGCACTAACATGATAGAATCAGTTTGTAAAACACACATATCTTGCTTTTCTTCTGAATCGGAAGCACTTCCAGCAGCAGGTGAACCTGTGGTGGTGTCTTCAGATGGCAGAAAAATACGGATTGTGCTAGTATTCATGTATATCAAGGGTAGTGTCCTGGTGTTCAATGACCAACCAAGAGGATAGTCATTCTGATAGGTGTTTAGAACACCCGTGGTGCCAACCAGAGTTCCACGTTTTTTGTAACACTTATGGAGAGGACTGAAAATCTCAAGTAAACTTTGAATTAGTGGAGCATAGAGAACAATATCAAAATGTTGCACTTTTAGATCTATTTCACTGATAAAATATTCACCGTTCTTTCCTCCTTGGTTAACAGATCTCTTCTTTGACTCCCCATCTCGAGAATCTTCCTTGAAAGACGGTGTCCTCTCTCTTCTGAAATGTGCCCATTTCTGTTGTACGTTTTTACACAATGCACGAGTGTAAGTCATTGAAAAGAAAGTATGAGCTAAAGGATCATTTTTCTTCCCATTTGAAAAGAGTGCAGAATGAGGAAGGGGTTCTGGATGTGAAGATTTAGCTGATGCCACTTGAACAGTGTCAGTTAGAGCCTCATTACAGCATACAGTTATCCCTTCGAAAGGTGAGGCTTCCCACTGGCTTTCTTCTGGCCTATTTAGAGAAAACACTCACTTGAACAGTAGTTACACTCGATATTACAGTTGTCACCCTCAGTCCAAACATTTAACAACATTACTTTAACAGTAGTTACACTCGATATTACAGTTGTCACCCCCAGTCCAAACATTTAACAACATTACTTTAACAGTAGTTACACTCGATATTACAGTTGTCACCCCCAGTCCAAACATTTAACAACATTACTTTAACAGTAGTTACACTCGATATTACAGCTGTCACCCCCCAGTCCAAACATTTAACAACATTACTTTAACAGAGAGGAAACCTGTAGAAGATACTGAAACAGAGGTGTGTTTATTGGGGTGGCACGGGAAAATGTTCCCCATTAGAGAGCCCTTTACCTCCTACCCCAGCAACCCCATTTGAGATAGTCTTTTAAGGTCTTTAAATTCTTTGCATTGCGATCCTCCCCAACATGAGTGTGTTAATTTTCTCTGCCCCAAGCTAACAGACCGTCCCCTTATGCCTCCCCTCACAAAAAAATTCTAAATCCTAGAAATGCCACAGAAGTCATAAGTTTAAAATTATGTCATATTTTGGTCTACTTTATTTAAATTAACCAAAATAACAGAAGAACACATAAACAAATTTTTTAATGCTTAGAGTTGTGCCTTTTCAATAGCAAAAGTTCTTACACAAATTTCAGAAAATCACCAAAAACTCTAACACTTTTAATTAGTTGACTATTCTCCTTCGAGAAGAAGACTAGTCAATTATTAGAAATCGCTCAAGTTTTGGGTCTTTTCTGAAATTCACTGCACCTTTTGTGTATGATTCTGTGTGCTAACTCTTTTATCAGAATTAATGTTCTTATGTGACACTAATATGACACTAATAAAAAAAAAAGACTAATTTATGGAAAGTTTTGAATTTCACTAATAAAAAAAAAAGTTATTTTGGAGGAACAAGTTATGAAGTGCTTAAAATACTCTCTCTATAAAAGCTAATAGAAACCTTCAATTACACACACCACAAACTACACACATATACATATCAAAACATGTTATTGGACATTTTTTATTAACGTATACAAATACACTAAACACTGATCAGTGACAACAGTAGATTAGGATAAGTCTACAGTTTAGCTGTTGGTTGTTTTCGTTTTGTAAAACAACTGTTTCACTCCACACAAGTGATTCTCATATTAAGAACTAAAATATTTGCTAAACAGGTGACCAGGAAGATGATATTAAGACTATCTGAAATGGTTAACTATACAACTGAGGTTTAATCCTTCTTTTGAAATACATGCGTCCAACAACATGCTTGTGTTGAAGAAGGAATAAAACGGGGGTACTGAGAGAAGAATTTATTTGTTTTAGGGCCAAGCCATTTTTGGGCAATCTGTTGTGTCCACTGCAGGGAATCGAACAGAGGATTTTAGTGTTGTCAATTTTTTTATTAATGCCTTACAATATATATAAATATATATTCTTTATAAAGTGTGTAAAATATATGACTTTAGACATATTTAATTTCACCCACTAGACATATAATTCTACATATCACTCTGAAACTTTACAACAAAAAAACTACATAACTTACTCTCTCATTGTATGTATTTCTTATCTACAAAATTCTTAAATTTTTCTAAGTCTCAGTTTTGAAACTCTCCATATTTGATTAAGGTCATGCGATAAATTGCAGTTTGATGTTTAACTCTTCATAGCTTTAACGGTCAAGAAATGTATCTACTGCATTACATCTCTTTCGACCTGACATTTAGGAAATATTTCACAACTTACACTTTTGGTGATCCTTTTCTGATTTTTCAGTTACAGAGAGAACGTGATGTGTATATGGAGTTTTGACAGTTTTAGATAAACGCTGGTTGGACATATGAGATCACTGCTGTCCTAAAGGAGCCAAAACTCACTAGTAGTAGTCCTGTCTTTTTGTCATTTCCAATTCCCGTGCCAACTGTGAGTTTCAGTTTGAATTAAATGTTATCTTGTTAACTAAATTTCTTTTTCCTACTGAATACTATCTCCTGCATACATTTCAGATTCCCCTGTTCTGACATCCACACAGTGTCTTGCCTCTTTTATTTTCCAACTGCCATAAATCACTACACATCTTCTTAATTTACAAAGATCAGGTAACTCCCCCCCCCCCCACCCACACACACACTCCAATGGCTCAGCAGTAAGTTTGAGGGCTTGTAACATTAAAAATTATTGGGTTTCAAATACAGAGGTGAGCAGAGCACAGACAGCTCATTGTGCACGCAACAGCAAGAACAATTAAAATAACTGCATTTGATAAAATTCATATAATTTCAATAGTGTATTACAATGTGCTAACTATGATGCAACACATTATTAAAGCACAAAAACTGATAACTACTTGGGATTATCTTCTTAATGTTCAATGGAGTATCTCAACAACAACTGGAAATAAACAGGCGCTGGCAACTCAACCTCCAACAGTGCATAAACACATTACTACTCGTTCACTTGTCTAGATGTAACATAGAGTCAGAAACCATAATTAATCTTCTTTAATGAAATATTTTTTGTTCGTTTTAAAATATTAATAGTTATAATTCATAGTCAAAAACACATAAAACTATTAATAAACAGACCCTCGGCCACTATATATATCTTAAGTTGAAAGATCTAATTTATAATCTATTATAACATCGTTTAATCACTAAGCCATTAACTTTTACAGTAGTGACAACGAGAACAGTGGACTTTCTTTTCCATTGTTTGATATAATAAAAAAAATTGTGATCTACTCAAACCTCTTTTGGTAACAGTTGACATTTATAGATGCAACTTTAACTTTGGTTTTTGAATATATATCCTGGGTGTCAACCGATACAGTCACTTCTTCAGTTTCCAACTGCATCCAGATATCTGCATAAAACAGACTGTGAATGTTATTGAGATTTCCTCGGAGCTTTTTATGTAAATCACATAGCAATGACTGACACTAATTAATGTTTAGTGCACAAGCCTGGCTAAATGATTAAAATAGTATTGAAAATACATATTGTTGAAAATGTATTGGTAAATTATGTGAAGAATGTTTAAAAATAATAATTTGCGATATAACTACAAGTAATCTCGATACAGCTAATACTTCAAGAGGAACTGGAAGTAAACACAAAAATAAAATAAAAGTAGAATAATGTTATAAAGACCATAAATAGATGGCAGGTAGACAAAGTTCATAAAGAAGAATAAAGTAATGTTTCCCAAGGTCTGCTTTGTAATTGGCTATGATGTTATTAATATAGTTCTATATAATAAATAATATTCACAAATGGCGTGATAGATTATTTTACTAGCGTCTGACGAATTACATAAACAATTTATTCTTTTTTTTTAGCTAGTAAACACGAAAAACTAGTTCTAATTTTTTATTTATACAGGAATTAGTAAATCTGATAATAATTTGAAGTATACCATTTATCCTCGATCTTATTATACACTAATGAAATGTTAAGGTTATCGGAAGTCCATCTACACACGAATGTCATGGCAGCAGCCTCTAATGAGTGTATTATTTGGATAAGAAATCTTAAGTTATTTTATACTAAATAATAATAATATAATACTTTTCATGTCACCTGTAAGCTATGAAACTATTTTAAAGTTCAGCTTTCTTTAAGAAACACACTACCAACAAAAACGTAAATTTCTAATAAAAGAATTACCACTTTTTTCTTTTGGGGAATGTTCTAATCTGAAGAGGTTTACACCAAATTTTGGAAGTGTCAACTGAACCCACAGTGTCACTTTTGGACCATCATCTCCTTCCTGGCCAGGCAATCCTTTAACTTGGGACTTAAGTGACTTTTCATCCACTTCTCCAGTCGATAAGCTCGTGCCGAGAGCACCGTCAACCTGGCTAGAGCTGGTAACACTAGAAATATTTATCAGTTTTGGGTTAGTGCAAGATGGGTCTACGGATCTTAACGTTGTATTCTGTTGGACTGGAGTCAGCTTCTTGATCCACTGCCACTTTAACTCTACTTCCAGTTGTGCTTCCATTAAGTTTTCAAAAATAAGAATAAGTAGTAGCAGCTGAAAGGAAATAAAACAGATAAATAATGACTTCTTTTTAAGAGCTGGAAAAAGAAATAATTCAGAAAAAGAATACATTTTCTTTCAGATACAACAAGATTATTATTAGAATTAGTAATGAACATATAATAACAGTTAGATCAATATATCGTTAAGTTATCCAAATGGTAGAACCATGACCAGTTTTGTAATCACCTTGTTTGTTGGATTAATGAAATACATTTTACACTTATTTGTATTAGTGATAGTACATAGTTATCATATTAAGCCACAGCTTTGATTTTGGCAGTGAATAAAGAAAAGTTCATTAATTATTTCTATAATGTTTGATTAGAAGTAAGATTTTCATGTATCTATATATACATATCGCACATACTTTAAAAATGTTACATTGTTAAGTAGACATTCATGTGTGACACAGTTTACATTGTTGTTGTTTGTTTATTTCAATAAAGCTTGAGGGATATCTGCTCTAGGTTATAGACTAGAGGGAAGACAACTAGTCAACATCACTCATCACCTATTCATGGGCTAATCTAATCAAATAGTGGGATTTGATTCTCATTCTTATAATACACCCACAGCTCCAAATTGTAGAGCACAGTTTGGCATGATAACAAGTTTAACTACTGGCTAATCTAATCAAATAGTAGGATTTGATTGTCACTCTTATAACACACCCACAGCCCTAAATTGTAGAGCATAGTTTGGCATGATAACAATAGTTTAATTACTGGCTAATCTAATCCAATAGTCGGATTTGATTCTCATTCTTATAACACACCCACACCCCTAAATTGTAGAGCACAGCTTAGATCCACAGTTTGGCGCGATAACAATAGTTTAACTACTGGCTAATCTAATCAAATAGTGGGATTTGATTCTCATTCTTATAACACACCCACAGCTCTAAATTGTAGAGCACAGCTTAGATCCACAGTTTGGCACGATAACAATAGTTTAACTACTGGCTAATCTAATCAAATAGTGGGATTTGATTCTCATTCTTATAACACACCCACAGCCCTAAATTGTAGGGTACAGCTTGGATCCGCAGTTTGGCACGATAACAATAGTTTAACTACATTACACTGTTGAAATACAGAAAAGATATGATCAGCACATAACTCAAACACTGTATCCTGCTGGAATAAAGCACAATACTTGTGTGTAGCAGAGTTTAAATACATTATATACTGTTGAAATATACAAAACTTTAAAAGTTGTATTATGCCATGGAATTAGAAACACAATATTCATATTTATAGCACAGAGTTTCAGTAAGCTTCACTGTTGAACTAAAATAAAGATTTTCATACTTGTAGCACAAAGTCTGAGTCAGCTACACTGTTGAACTAAAGTCAAGATATTCATATTTGTAGCACAAGGTCTGAGTCAGCTACACTGTTGAACTAAAGTCAAGATATTCATATTTGTAGCACAAGGTCTGAATCAGCTACACTGTTGAACTAAAGGCACGGTATTTATATTGTAGCACAGAATTTAACCCTCCTAGCCTGGATCAATCTTTTTACATGAACTTGAAAATCATGATGCTTTACATACTAGAACTGTGAATCAACTATGCACAATTTGATGAAATTTTGCATACTTTTAGTAAAAAATACAAGTCTGTTGTATCCAAAAAATCAGAAGTTTTAATAACGTACAGATTTGTCTGAATTTCCAAAGTCTTTACTGAGTCACTCTAAGTGCAAGATCACTTTTATGATAAGAATAAAAACACTTCTTTTCATTTTACAATTTTCATATTTCACTTGCATAACCTCTAAAACCCCCTGAATGAATATCAAAAGTTTATTTTTTTGGTAAAACTATATTTCATCTGCTATTTCCTCTATTCTAACAACGACTGTAGCTAAATCATCAATGTACAATGATATAAGATGACTGACTGGCTTATATGATGTTCAGTTTTCTTTGTGCCTCAAGAACAGAACATTACGTTAGCAGATTTCCATATGCTAACATACATACATGCACATGCAGCTTTGCATGTGGACATTCTTAGTTACCTAAGCCTAATCTTTTTAAACTAAGTCTTTGTTGACAGAAAAAATTAACTTACCTTTTAAATATGCATCTTAAAATATAATAAACACATAGGTAACTAAAATAACTTGTCTAAAAATAGCTGTAATTAAATTGGCTTTCTAACTAAGCTATTTAAACTAAAAAAAAAAAAACCTTAAATGCTCTGAACATCAACTTCCATACCAACTGGCAACTAATAAAATCCTCTACTATAACTTATTTGTGCCAATTTCCAAAGAACCAATAAAAGCTTGAAGTTGAAAATAAGATATTTCTATTCATTACAAAAATGTATGTTAAGTAAGAGCAAATGGTTTTCAAAAGAGCCTTAAAAGTTGAAGATTGATGGGCAACAGGGCTTCTGTTATAGGTTGGAGAGGGACAACACAGGGACAGGTTAACACTATCTGGAGAGGGACAATACAGGGTCAGGTTAACACTATCTGGTGAGGGACAATACAGGGACAAGTCAACACTATGTGGAGAGGGACAGTACAGGGACAAGTTAACACTATATGGAGAGGGACAATACAGGGTCAGGTTAACACTATCTGGTGAGGGACAATACAGGGACAAGTCAACACTATGTGGAGAGGGACAGTACAGGGACAAGTTAACACTATATGGAGAGGGACAATACAGGGACAGGTTAACACTATCTGGAGAGGGACAATACAGGGACAAGTTGACACTATCTGGAGAGGGACAATACAGGGACAAGTTGACACTATATGGAGAGGGACAATACAGGGACAAATCAACACTATCTGGAGAGGGACAATATGGGGACAAGTTAAGGTGTTGAAACTGTACATTTGACCTTGGAATTATTTGTAGACTGTGTCTAGGATAAGTCAGACAATATAGTTGCTATAATATTGAAGGTATACAGATTGAAGTAAGACATTTCAGAATGCAAACACGTAAAACAGAGTATTGAAGGTTAAGAATTTTTTAAATACCTTCTTTTGAAATTAAAATACTAAAACATACATAATACAAAGTTCTTAATAATAAATTACACTATGAGGCTAATTCTACTGACATTTAATAATAAAAAAATGTTTTTAACTAAGTTTTGAATGTAATTCTGTGAAACCATATAAATATCATGATGTGTATAGAAGAGCCAGCCCCATGTGTAAAGTGTTAAACAGGTTTTTATTTCACCTGGACCTCTAACAGGATGTACTGAAATCCAAACTTCTTGAAGTAGTTTTAAAGTTAATACATAGTCTAAATCAATTTTTCTCACAGCTGCAGATGCCATCATTATCAAAACAATATTATATACTATACAATGAGTGGAATGAATTATGGACTTGCCCCGAAAGGTATCTTTATAAGATCCATAAAGCAAGGGCCGACTGAACATAAATTGACGGTGATCATTCTGCACGTAGCTGGATAGTTTGTGCCACGGGGATTTATAGTAACAGCTCCAATGATGGCTGCACTGGTGTATATATATATATTTTTATCAGGGAAACAAAGAAAAGTTTTATATTTCCTATTGAAAAAAATGTAATCAAATACAATAGTGCAATATTAAAGTTTGTTTAAAAATGTAACTAGAAAACCACAATATTCATTAAACAGTGGGAAAATACCTCCAGTTCGTGGTTTCCAAGGATGAACTTCCTCTAAGATACTAGTTAGGAATCATTAACAGGTTAGTCTTGACTTTCGAAAGTCAGAGCCACAAACAAAAGTTATATTATTATAAAACAACCTCTAACTTCAGACCTACCAGAGTACTGAAACATGGCTCTAAGCCTGCTACGTAAAAACTTATACAAACAGTTTATCTTACAAAAATTTTACATTTCTTTACCTGGTTTTTTGAACAACACAGCTGAAGGCAGTCCATGTCCAGGTGGATACACACTCCAAGCTGGGTTAAACCGCTAGTCAAGGATGGGTGACATCTAGTGGTGAATGCAAGAGTAGCAGATAACGAAGTGGGTTTCATTATATACTGAACGCTGGTGTTACTCTGAACAGTGTAGACACTACAGTCTGAAGCCGTGACACTCCATGGAAAGTTTTCCAGTGCTGAAATAAGATAGAAGGGTTAATGTCTCCATGCAAACTAACCATGGGAACTTTCACAGACTAAGAACCTCTAAATACAGTTGTTAAATTTCAAAATAAACACTAGAAGTTCCCCATTCAAGATTATTATTACTATTAGCCAAGATTATTACTACAATTAGCCAAGATTATTACTACAATTAGCCAAGATCATTACTACTATTAACCAAGATTATTACTACTATTAGCCAAGATTATTACTACTATTAACCAAGATTATTACTACAATTAGCCAAGATCATTACTACTATTAACCAAGATTATTATTACTACTATTAACCAAGATTATTACTACTATTAGCCAAGATCATTACTACTATTAACCAAGATCATTACTACTATTAACCAAGATTATTACTACTATTAGCCAAGACAAAATTTCCTACGTTAATCTTTCTTTGATAGAAAATTGCTAGAGAAAAAACAAACAAGCCAAAGAATAATAACTTAAATATAAATGTATAAGATTAAATTATTCTTAAGTATGTCTACATACAGGGGCTCCAGCCATCAAGAGCAGCAACTGGTAAATCTGAATCTACTAGTGGATAGCTGTACTTGGTGCTGCTGTGGACCAGTAGGTGAGGCAGAGAAACAACAAGAAGACCAGGAACTTCTTTCTTCTGGTACGCTTCTTTCCATGATTCCAGACAAGAAATATTCTGAACTGTTGAAGTCGGCAATAGCAGACACAGGCTGTGAACGTCTACCTATATACATAAACAGTTATAATATTGAGAGTGTAGTTTTGTCCAAATAAAGACACCTGGCAGATTGCCTGCATAACACAAGGTTTGAATAAAAAAAACCACTATGGTAATACACGATTAGAGCCTAACTGCATAACTTAGAAAGTGAATTAAACATACTAGCATCCAAATTAACGTACTCGACAGAGTAAGCTACTACTAGTTGTATTAAAACAAAAATTGTGTGTGTAAAGTTTTACGATCAGTACCATTTATGAGGTAACATACTAGCATCCAAATTAACATACTCGACAGAGTAAGCTACTACTAGCTGTATTAAAACAAAAATTGTGTGTGTAAAGTTTTACGATCAGTACCATTTATGAGGTAACTTTGATTATAAATACACGTGGCCATTAACATTACTGAATGGAATTTGAATTAAGTTAATGTATGTAGTCTTGTTACACTATCTTTGATTGTTTGTTTGTTTGTTTTGAATTTCGCACAAAGCTACACGAGGGCTATCTGTGCTAGCCTTCCCTAATTTAGCAGTGTAAGATTAGAGGGAAGGCAGCTAGTCATCACCACCCACCTCCAACTCTTGGGCTACTCTTTTACCAACGAATAGTGGGATTGACCATCACATTATAACGCCCCCACAGCTGAAAGGGCGAGCATGTTTGGTTTAAAAGAAAGTAATAAATATACCATCATTATTTCAACAAATGTACGTAGATATTTACAAGGCTTGACAAATACACGTGCCCACTCACCACTGGTAAATCATGTTCTATTTTCATGGATTCATATGATTTATTATATCAAACTTGAAGCTTTAGAAGTTTAATAAAACTCCCGTTTAATTCATATTGCTGGCAATGTGCATACAGTCTAACGGAAAAGGCTGTACTGGTCTGTGAAAGTACTTTAGTGTCTACTATAAGTTTACCAAATTTTAAAAATTGAGAACTAAAATTATTAAATCTATGTACAAAACTATTAGTTTTAATGGATAGTTAATATGTGTTACATTCTAGGGTAGTTATTTCATGTAAGAAAAACTTTCTAAGATTTTTCTGAGCAAACTCCATAAAACACTTTTAGTGGAGTAGGAAGTAGGGGGGCTGCTCCCCTTCACTTTTCAATCTCTCCTAGTAAAAATGCATAAAAATTAGGGAAATTATTTTCTGAATAAGCAGAAGAATGCATAAAATTTAATCCAATCCAGAACTCAAACAAGAGCTTCCAGGGTCTAAAGGCGAGCCTTGAATCTCAGCCATAATGGGTGCACATGTGGGGCACATCCACTCTGTTTCATTAAATAAACCTTGGGCCCTTCCACTTGTAATTTGCCTCCTACACCTCTGGTCTTCTCTTTTAGTTACTTTTAACAAAGCTTAAGGAAAAAAGAATTATAAGCCAATAACAGCAAGTAAATAGAAAAATAAGGAAATAAGAAGTGTACTTCCACCAAAATCAAACAACACTGTTTAAAGGTTCCAGAATAACTGAAAACAACAGAATTTTTTCTCAGTCCTTGGTTTTTCACGAATAAAGACGCAATGTTACAATGAAAGATTAAAATAAATAAATCTCTTAACATCAGCCCCATGTAACGTTGTTAGTTTTTACTTGAACTAATACACGTTGCAACACACACCTTTCTGGATGACATAACACTTGAAATAATACAATTATCTAAATAATACAGCCATACCTCATTTATGGATAATAACAATCAAACTAGAACCCCATGAAGCTGTTAACAACCACATGGTCCTCATGAAAATGGCAAAAGCAGTGGAATCAGAGAATGGACAAAATCTTTTTATGGTTGTTTGCAATGTTTCATATGTCACTAAGCAACAGTGACTTCAATGGATAACATAACACTTGAATTCACACCTACCTGGATAACACAATAGAAGTTCAAGTGTTATGTTATCCAAGTAAGTGTGAATTCAGATATTGTGTTATCCAGATAGGTGTGAATTCAAGTGTTATGTTATCCAGGTAAGTGTGAATTCAGGAATTTGTGTCTGGTATCATGCTGTTCTGAACAAACTCCACTGTGTGTATAAATAACCAATTTGTGTCTGGTATCATGCTGTTCTGAACAAACTCCACTGTGTGTATAAATAACCTATTTGTGTCTGGTATCATGCTCAAATCAATATTTTTTTTATTGTATGTTGAACAGAAGGATCCGCTTCTAGTAGCACAACAGTACCTCAAATGAGCCAGACTGGAAGTACTACTCACTCTACTTCACCTTTGTCCTTTGTCACCTCATCCAGTCAGTTATCTCAAGGAGAGAAATGGGGGAGTTTAACTCAGTGGGTAGTAGACTGGTATAAACTGTGTGTATAAATAACCGGGAGTTTGTTCAGAACAGCATGATACCAGACACAAATAGGTTATTTATACACAGTGGAGTTTGTTCAGAACAGCATGATACCAGACACAAATTGGTTATTTATACACACAGTGGAGTTTGTTCAGAACAGCATGATACCAGACACAAATAGGTTATTTATACACAGTGGAGTTTGTTCAGAACAGCATGATACCAGACACAAATTGGTTATTTATACACACAGTGGAGTTTGTTCAGAACAGCATGATACCATACACAAATAGGTTATTTATACACACAGTGTAATGATGAACTGTTACAAAATCTGGACAAAAGATAACCTACATTATGAGACTAAAGAACAGATCAAAACTGCGAACAGTTCCAAAAATTGGGCAAAAAATCACCTACATAAAATGTTTAAAGATTAGTTTAATACTGTTATAAAATTTGGGCAGTAGATCACCATCAGTGGGTGTTTATATATCAACTTATATGATACAACTTCATTAAATTTCAAACTTAATGTCTGGCCATATAACTTCATCATAAGGTAATATAAATAGTGTTAGAAAAGTATGAAGATACAGAAAGACTTTATCCCTCAGAGAACAAGGTTTTAGGCATGGTGTCATATTAGTTGACATACATATAGATACACATAAACCAGAAATATGCAAAAGGTAGGTTTCTCACAATAAAACTAACAGTTATAATAACTCTAAGAACTGAAAGAAGTAACTTTTTCAATACCCGTAGTTCTTTAAAGTAGGAATATGAACAGAAACATCAACTTCAATGAATGTGAGGCTTTTATCTTAAAAGTTTACTGTTACTACAAACCTTGATGCTTTTCTTTTACAGAAGCAAGATGTGAAGGTGCATTTTCCAGTGTTTCAACAGGACCAACAGAATCAACCTTTGAGGTTGTAGGCAAATAGGATAACCAAGTGAGCAAAAGAGGGTCTAAATTAACCATTACCCCAGCCACTCTGGCACTCACAAGCACTGGATCTTCAAAAAAAAAAAGTTTTAAGATTATAAAAATTACTTAATTCATACTTATATATAAATTGTTTGTACAGAAACCAGACGAACATGTTTCTCAGCTAAACTTGTACCGAACAACAAATTGTTTATAATTATTGTTAGATACAAATGTAGAAATTCTCTTCAGAAGAATTATTAAGAACATTTTCATGCGACTAAGTTTTCAACCATACAAACCAAAGTGTAATCTTTTATACATAAATTGGAACTTTTTTTTCTCTGTTTGTTTAACATATTCTTTATGTCATATTCAGGCAACATAATGTTTCAGACATAAAGAACTGATTGTGGAACACTGTGATTATTCAGTACTAGAAGAAATTACTTTGTAAATACTTGAAGATGTCTAAACACAAGTTAAAAACTGTGAAACGTTACAAAAATTTGGGCAGTCGATCACCAACAGTACAACAGATTATATGATACAACTTTATCAAATTTCAAAGTTCATTTTTTGGCCATACACTATATTCACCCCACTTACTGTTTAATAAACTTTTGTTTTAAATGTTATTTCTCATTATTGTACTTTATTTTGCCCTTAAAATTACAAATATCACAGTGTAGTTCTTATCAACGAAACTTCACTTTTTGTATCAAACATGTGTTCAAACTATGATTTCATATTTTGACTTATAAATTCAACAAACCTTTGATTCAGTTATCCGACATTTTTAAAATCAGATGTACATATACAAACTTTCAAAGCATTAATGTTACTTTCCTGGAGGTGAACAGGAAAGAAATACATTGGTTGTAACTGTAGGGAACAAATGTTTAATCAAAGTAAATACACGTCATCTCTAGAACAAAACCACAATATTCATATAAATTACTGACTTTCAACAATTGTTAGTTGTTAGGTGCAAACTTTCTACATTAATTAGTTGTTACGTGCAAACTTTCTACATTAATTAGAAAGTTTGCACCTAACAACTAACAAATGTAGAAAGTTTGCACCTAACAACTAACAAATGTAGAAAGTTTGCACCTAACAACTAACAAATGTAGAAAGTTTGCACCTAACAACTAACAATTGTAGAAAGTTTACACCTAACAACTAACAATTGTAGAAAGTTTACACCTAACAACTAACAATTGTAGAAAGTTTCACCTAACAACTAATTAATGTAGTTAGTTCCCAGAGTGAAACTATGAAATGAAATACACAAACTGTTGACCACACAAATAATTAACTTTTTACAACATGACTTCAAATTTTCAATTCTCTGAAGAATGGTGTACAAAACTTCTTACCACAACATTCTGACCAGTTCTTTGGAAGTTGCAAAGTGACTTTTATCCAGTTGTCTTGGTCTTCTCCATGAATCTGAGAGTCAGACATAGAGGTAAAGTATCCTGCTTTGTGAACATCACAAGTAGATTCAGGTGCACAAATCAAAACCACAGTCTGGCCTATAAAAGAATTCAATCTAGTTGTTGGTAAAATGGATTTATAAAGGAATGTTTCTTTAGTGGAGTCAATATTTTGATACATTTACTTCTGACCTAAAGAAGATCCAAGAAAATGTATTGAAGTGTAATATCCAACAAAGGAACCTTTGAGGACGTTGTCCACTATTATTCCACTTTAATGCTTGACATTTTGAAAGGTTGAACCTAATTATAATATGTTGTTATCATGCAGAAGTGTGTGTGTTTTATTATAGGAAAGCCACAGCAGGCTATCTGTTGTGTCAACCAAGGGGAATCGAACCCCTGATTTTAGCATTGTAAATCCCAAAGACTTACCGCTGTCCCACGGGGGGACTCACGGAAAAGTACAAATCAGTAAGTTACAATTAGTAAATGAGTATTGAAATGGTCAAACACATGCTACAGTAGCAGTATCGTACTGTTACAGATCCTCTATTGCAGTTCAATTGATGTAAAAACAAACTTGAAAACTATTTTTAAACAATAAATACTCTTTACCACTCCTTACAAATGCTTATTCACAATAACTTAATATGCAAGTTGGATTACTGAAAAAAAAGTATGCATGTCTTAAGCTTCTTTGCATCTTAGAATTTTGTTTAAAAAGAAATTTAAACTAAACTTAACATCTTAGTGGACTTGTCAGAATGCCTTTGAAAATGTTATCTAAATATTTCAGTTTATATAAAAATAAAATACCATTTTCATTACACAAAGTATTTATTTAAAGATTAATTATGACACATTCTTCAGACAAACGTTTGATAAACTAATAATGGTTCTCATTCTCTTCCATGTGTGTAACTACAGAGTTACTGATAAGAGGTTTATTAAATCAGATTAATTTTCTAAACACATTGTTTCTAAATGTACTTGGTAAAACAACAGTTTTCATCACAGGATAATTAAAAACATAAGAATCACCCAAAGTCTTCAGACGAAAATACCAATCATATTGTACGTAATCCAACCAATTACAGTTAAATTCTCATGTGTTTTTCACATAGAAAATGAGTGATTTTTTCTCAATATTTTCCATTCGTTTTGAGTGCTGTACCATGAAAGAGTTACTCAATATGATGAGTGTGTGAACCTCCCTCAATATTTTCCAGTCGTTTTGCGTGTTGTAATGTGAAAGAGTTATTCAATATGATGAGTGTGTAAACCCCTCTCAATATTTTCCAGTCGTTTTGAGTGTTGTAACATGAAAAAGTTACTCAATATGATGAGTGTGTAAACCTCCCTCAATATTTTCCAGTCGTTTTGAGTGTTGTAACGTGAAAGAGTTACTCAATATGATGAGTGAGTAAACCACCCTCAATATTTTCCAGCCGTTTTGAGTGTTGTAATGTGAAAGAGTTACTCAATACGATGAGTGTGTAAACCTCCCTCAATATTTTCCAGTCGTTTTGAGTGTTGTAACGTGAAAAAAAGTTACTCAATATGATGAGTGTGTAAACCCCTCTCAATATTTTCCAGTCGTTTTGAGTGTTGTAATGTGAAAGAGTTACTCAATATGATGAGTGTGTAAATCCCCCTGGTGCTGAATAGTATAGAGAGGTAATACGAGGGTTAAATAAAGTATACATCTCCATAAATGAAAGAACTGAAGCATACGGTGATCAGTTTGATAATATTTTATTTTTTAGGCTTTTTGTTTATGTATTTTAGGTTAATCAATACCTTTTAATAGCCACCTCAGCGAATGAAGAAAAATGAAATTTTCCAAAATCTTTTAAATATTCAAACAAACTGAACTGTTCCAGAATATTTTTAGTAACTTTTACAGTTTAATGTTCTGAAAACAAAAAGTAATATTGTATTTCTAAATTTACCTTTAAATCAGTGGGTGTGTATTGATGTAAGCTTTAACTAGTTAATAATCTTGAAGGAATCTCTCTGTTTATTAAAGTGAAGGCCAAAACTGGCTTGAAAAAAAATTAACGTAGAGCCCTATTAAATAAGTAGAAATATGCAACTAAATAAACTAGACCTTTAGAGAAAAAACACCTTTAAAAGTTATGGTAATAATATATTTTCTTGGTGGCATTTCGAGCAAATGTTCTTTTTCAAACCAGAAACAAGTTTATTGGTTAATGACAATTACAGGAACATTTTGAAATGAAACAATATGTACACATGTGTGTGTGTGCTGAGCTGTATGTTTTGAAGGGAACATTTGAATAAATAAACATTTCATAGAATACTTTTACTATTCATATTAAGGTGTCAAAAATACATCTGGAAAGAACAAGACAGACAAATTAATCCCTCTTAGCCAGCCCAAGTTTAAAGAATAAAGTAGTTAAGATATTTTCACAAGTACATAGAACTGCAAAACAACAAGATTTTTGTTTAATAAAAAGAATTTCCATCAAAGTTTCCAGAAGACTCTACATATTTTTTTCCTAAACAGGAAATAAGGTACAACATTAACTTACCGCCATTTGAAAGTTGACATTTTAAAGACTTAACTAAACCAGAATGGCCTTCAGTTGTTCTAGTTTCTGTGTGATGCCAGGTACACCCACTGATGTCTAGTATCAAACTTGGCAAGTCTGTTATAATAATTACAGAAAACTACTATGTTAATAATAAATCTCTAACAATTTTATAACAAAACTGAAATTTAAGACTTTAAAGACAATTGTGTGAACAAATAAACCATCATACATTTTCCTATTACAATTTGTATAAATGATATATACATGCACACTGATGCAAGTAATGAGATACATTTTTTTACATCTTCTATATTATAATGCCAAACAGTTACACTAAACAGTAATTTTACTAACTTATAACTACTTATTTTTAATTTGTTTGTTTGTCTTAGAGCAGAGAAAGACTAGTTTATCTGCTGTACCCATCATGGGGAATCAAACCCTGGATTTTAGCACCGTAAGTCCGCAGACTTACCACCGTCCTCCGGGGAACAGTACGTTTAATAAAATAATCTATAATTTTTGCCTGAAAAACAGTAAAGTTTCATTATATCATAGACTTGAAGTAAGCAAAAAAAAAAAAACTTATTCAAAAACCTACCAATATTACTTTATCACTGCAACTTTAATTTTTTTTATAGTTTCACCTCTATATTTGTTTTTTATCATTATATGTCTCAGAATATTTGACTATATGAAAAAAATGAAGAAACAAGGTACAACATAACTATATACAAGTCTTCAATACGGTTGTGTGAACTTATGAACAACAGAATTATACTAGGGAATAACAACCAATTTTCAGACAGCCTTTGTAAAAAATCAAGTAGTTATATGCTTTGCATCAAACAAATTTGAATATTAATTAAACTTGTTTGGTAACGATGTAATAAACAAAACTAAGTATAATCTTAATTATCCATATAGTTTTAAATGGAATTCTATGATTGGAAATTGTGGAGTAGAATACTTTCTTAAAATGAAAATCAGTTGATTAACAGCATTTGTTAAACCGATGTGAATGTCTAAACTGATCACTACTAATATTTCATTATTAATATCTTTCTGATCCCTAGTTTTCATTTTCTACATGAAGCATTATTTCAATAAACTTGTAAGAAAGGATATTGCCTGATTAAAAACTAATTTATAGAACATTTCATGTCAAAAACTCATAACATTTGATAATAAACAAAAACTTTATACATGTGGTATATCACGACAGAACAAAATACAAACCCGTGTCTGTGATATCTTGCAGCAAAGAAGATGCTACTAAGGAAGGGAATATCGTGCTGCTAGATTTCCAAGAATTTAGTAAACTTAAAAGAACTAACATCTGAGGTGGTGCCACCTGCAACCTCAGTTGTCCTATTTCAGCCCACCATTCCTTTAGGGGGCGCCAGGGGTGGTTGTTCCAGTAATGAGGTAGTAACAGGATCTTCTTATAGAGAGAAGCACTAGTTGGCGACAACAGTAGTACTTTTCTTCTGTACAGTTTCTCATTTATTGAAAGCACCACTTCAAAATCAAACACCTATATGAAAACAAGTTCTATATTAAGAATTACACATAATATGGTTGTAAATATTATCTTTCATTTAGGTAAGCATGAAATGTAACATTGTTTTTACCATATTCTGGTGAAATATTATCAAAACATTATGAGCAGTCTTGAGAAAATAACAAAAAAAAAGGACAGGTTTCTTAAAACAGTCTTAAAATATTTTAGACATATGCCAAATGATAAAAAACCTATAACCCGAGCACTTTCGAAAGGTGACTACTGTTTCTTTATAAAGAACTCTCTGGATATTACTGTTTTCAAGTAGTGTAGTATTTCTCTATAAAGTAGTGTCAGCACAACACTGTTTTCAAGTAGAATAATGTTTCTTTACAAAAAACTGTCTTGACAGCACTTTTTTCAAGTACACTAATATTCCTTTATAAACAACTGTCTGAACATTATTGTTTCCAAAAAGTTTAATGTTTGTTTATGAAGAACTATTGAAGAATAAAGGTCCACCTTTCAAAAGCACTCGGGTTATAGGGTTTTTATCATTTTGTGTCAAGACTTCTTGAACCTACGTGTTTTTTCTGACATCATGAATTAGACATATGCCAATCACCTATTGAAAATTACACGAGGTGACATAATGGCCTACAAAAACAGAAATAAGAGTCAGTAGTTTAGTGATAGAAACATCACCTTTAGAGAAAAGTGAAGATAACAGTCATGAAGTACATTTTCAGAAGGAGCAGCAAGAAGGCTTGTTATCGACGCCACTCGCTGTGGATACATAGGTCTACTTAACTCAATGTCCACACACTCGGTGCATACTAACAGTGCTGGGAAAGAGTGGATGGTTGATAACTCTCCGGGAGACTTCTCTTTCTCTGTGCTCTTGGATTTCTAAAAAAAAATCAATGACAAGAATGGATATAAAAAAAATATACACTAATGATTTGTTTTAGAGCAAAGCCACATTGGGCTATCTGCTGTGTCCAGCGTGGGAAATCGGACCCCGGATTTTAAGTTCGCAGACTTACCACCGTCCCAACAGTGGACTGAATTAATTATGTCAAAAACTAGGGAAAATCAAAATGTTGTATTTCATTAAAATTTTTAATGAGAACTGTTACTGGTTTTACATATTTTCTTGTACAGATTTATGGGATAAAAACCTTTTTTGTTCTTCTCTTCTGTATTACACTACATGAAGGATGGTCAGCAGCATAGAACTGGATGTAAGGTTTCAGCAGAGTGATATGATATGTTCTCTGTGGAATGTAATCCTCCAAAGAAGCCATTTCTTCTTCTGTGGGAATAGTTCTAGAGTCTGATATATTAGCTATAGTTGAGAAAAGAAAACAAAGACATTTTAATACTAGTACACTACGTTATTCATTTATACATGTGTCCTGTTTAAATATTATTTTAATTTCTTAACTGTATTTCTTATTCATATGACTCAAATTTATAAAGAACAGTGTGTGTGGATAGCTTAATATAAAATAAGAAAATTTTCTCAATGCCTTGGTAAGTATTAGCATACAGTCATTGGACTTTTCATTTCTTTCAGATGCAATTCACCCCTGAACAGTAATAATACTTAGTTTTTGTTGTCCTGAAAATGTGCATGCACCTTACTATCTAAATGCACACTTCGTTTCAACAGATGTAAATATACTTCGGTAGACATTTAGCACAAGAACATATTAAAAGTTTTTAAAAATGTCTAACGTTAGGTAATAGAATAACATTATAAATTTATTTATTGATAGTATTAAGTACGGTACAGTTTAGCCCTAACTAAACTAAAGCAAAAAATGTATGCAAGTTACAGTGTTAATTTATCCCTTTATTGTATATATAGACCATAGTTAATAAAGGCTTAACTAATGTTAGGACTAAGACAATGGACTTGTAGATTTTGTTGTCTACAATTAGAATTATTTTGTAATATTCTAGAAATCCTGTATTTAAAGATGTACTGTTGTTATAAAGATAATAATTTGACTGCCATGTTTTACAGGTCCCTGCTAGTAATACCCATATTTTCTCAACCTTCAGGTACATATTTATTTTACAGTTTGTACTCCAGTGTAATAAGATGAAGATTTGTGTAATACTTCTAACCTTGTTGAAGTTAAGAGTGAGTTGAATATTTATTATATATCTTTATCATGTTTAAATAAAAATAAGATGAGGATTTGTGTAATACTGTACCTGATGATGACGAAACGTTGTACATTTGCTGTTGTATTAAAGTTTTTCTTCATTACCCATTCAAGCCGTCTCCAGCCATTATTTATTTTATATTCTTATCATGTTTAAATAAAGATAAGATGAGGATTTGTGTAATACCTCTAACCTTGTTGAAGTTAAGAGTGAGTTGAATATTTATTTTATATTTTTATCATGTTTAACTAAAAATAAGATGAGGATTTGTGTAATACTTCTAACCTTGTTGAAGTTAAAAGTGAGTTGAATATTTATTATATATCTTTATCATGTTTAACTAAAAATAAGATGAGGATTTGTGTGATACTTCTAACCTTGTTGAAGTTAAGAGTGAGTTGAATATTTATTTTATATTTTTATCATGTTTAAATAAAAATAAGATGAGAATTTATGTTGCAAATCTAAACTTATTTAAATGAACAGAACATTAAAAATTCACACTATGGTTTATAACTAGTTTCAGTGAAAAACAACAAGATTCACAATGTTTGCAGAGTAACAACCATTTCATTTGTGGAGATACTGGGAATAGCAATATAACAAAATAGTTTATTGCTTTAATATACTGAAATATTAAGTACGTGTTGACACAGGTTAATATATGCTCTTTTTTGTATATTTTGATAAAAGAGTCAGCACACAGAATAACACACAATGTAATTACAATTTACACCTGTCACACACTACACATCCAACCCTGATGGTTATCTTATTAAAAGAAATACCCACAAGGCTGTTAGATGAGTCTAAGGAAAGTGGCAAGGATGGAGTAGATGTTTCAAACCATGCATGGCATTTAATAATAACACATTTCAAGATAAAAAGTTTTACATATTCTGTGATACTATAGTAAGATCTTTTAAATTACAGTGAGACAAAAACAAAACAGAAGGGACTTTGATAAAGATATAAGCAAGTCTGACAGACAAATCAAACAGTCCAGCAGAAGTCAGTTGTATATGTGTCCCTTCTTGGACTCTGGACCCCACTGAAATGGATTATGACAAAACATCTGTGATTCAATTCATCTGTCAGATATATATAACTGTCAAGCTATCTGTGCTGTCAGATATATATAACTGTCAAGCTATCTGTGCTGTCAGATATATATATAACTGTCAAGCTATCTGTGGAAATAAAAGAATAAAACCTTCCAGGTAAACACTTCCTATCAATCTACAGAGTATTCAAGAAGTAGTGCAGCAGAAACAAACTGGTGGATAGTAGAACAAGGTCAAGGTCCATGTGGCCAGTAATTGAATCAAAACAAAAACATGTTCACTTAATCTAGTTCACAAGTTACCAAAACAAATAGAACTAACAACAGTTACAGTAGGATGGCTAAAGACAACAGCATGCTTACAGGAGGACTGAAGTACAGTAGGGTGTTTAAAAGCAACATGCTCACAGGAGGACTGAGGAACAGTAGGGTGTTTAAAAGCAACATGCTCACATGAGGACTGAGGAACAGCTTCACCAAGAAAACAAACAAGTGATATAATCTGACCTAAATTCAAATACTGACCCATGTGCAACTAGGAAAGTTGAAATTAAATAATTGGTTGAACAATCGCCAAGTTTTTTATATTTTTATTTAAAGAAGGATGACGTTTCGAGCTAGAGCTCTTCGTCAGATCGTACAGCTGTACCTTAATCTTAAACTGTACGATCTGACAAAGAGCTCTAGCTCGAAACATCATCCTTCTTTAAATGAAAATATAAAAAACTTGGCGATTGTTCAACCAATTATTTAATTTTGATATTTTTCATCATCTATGTGGTTCTAACTTGTCTTTCTTCAAATAGAAAAGTTGCACAAATATCCTTATAATTGTTTATAAGATTCCAACCATCCTTCACAGGACCAAAAAAAACAGCAACAAAGAAAATCTTAGGTCTTTCAGTAAGCAGCAATCACAGAAAAAGTTCACCAGATGAGAAACCAATCATATAATGGAAATAAAAAATAGGGAACATTCAGGAGCTGGTTCACATACTTATGTCAATAAAGATACTCTAGCAGCAAGTAAATGGAACAGAGTTTTTCTGATAAGGTTTGATGATGAGAGGAACTAGAAACCAATAAACTGAAATATCTAAAACAATAAATAGAAGTACAGGTGATGTAGAGTGTGATGGAATGAGTCTAAGTCTAGACACAGACAAATTGATGAAGGGAAGGACATTTTATGTTGTTGTTTGTTTTGTTTTTGCTCTTGACCCCTGACAAAATATAACTCTACATTTTTGTAATGGTTTTAGTCGTACCTAAAACAATTTTTATTTATTTCAGATGTGCAACTAAGAATACAAAATAATAACTCACACACAGCATACAATGTTCTATAAGTATTATAATTTAACTAGCTTTCTAACTATGGTATAAGTGTCTTAAAATAATTTGCTTACCTGGTCGATGTGAACTCGGTGACAGTAACAATGAATCTGTAGACTGAATAATTTAAACACTTTCTCAGAATGATTTAGTTTTAGATGGAAATCAGTAACTCAAAATCTCTTCCTTCTATTGGTTATAAATAACCTAAGATCAAATGTAAAAGAATTATTGACATTTTGTGAAAGATAGGATGTGACAGGAGGACATGGCAAGTGGGTTTGGCTTTCTGGATTATATCTCTGTAAACCAAGAAGATTGGAGGGTATAAAATTTAACTATGTCTTAGTAATACCCATACTGTAAATGTGCAATATATGTTATACTCAGGACATCATACAGAGTCAAAGTAAAACAGAGAGTGATGTGATACAGATTAGTGAAGATTGAGATTTAATTTAAATATTTCCTTCTGAAACTAAAACTTACATAATATTAAAATTTGATTTATCAACTATGTTTTAATGCCATGTTTATTTGACATAAATTAATAATGAAGTAGTTTATTTAAATCTTGAATGTAACAAAGTTGTGACACGTACACTTTGACCTAGTCACGTTCAGAGGGTTAGCAAAGCTGAGGAGAAAAGACTTCAACTGAGTTTGAGAAAGTAAGAGGACACAAGAAATTAATTATGCTAATGTAATGGATTTAAGAAACTAACTATGCTAATGTAATGGACTTAAGAAGCTAACTATGCTAATGTAATGGATTTAAGAAGCTAACTATGCTAATGTAATGGATTTGAGAAGCTAACTATGCTAATGTAATGGATTTAAGAAGCTAACTATGCTAATGTAGTGGATTTAAGAAACTAACTATGCTAATGTAATGGACTTAAGAAGCTAATTATGCTAATGTAATGGATTTAAGAAGCTAACTATGCTAATGTAATGGACTTAAGAAGATAATTATGCTAATGTAATGGATTTAAGAAGCTAACTATGCTAATGTAATGGATTTAAGAAGCTAACTATGCTAATGTAATGGATTTAAGAAGCTAACTATGCTAATGTAATGGATTTAAGAAGCTAACTATGCTAATGTAATGCTAACTTTAAAGTACACAAAGTTCCAGTGAAAGTGTCATAATTGAGTCTGACCTTTTTTTTTTTGTATGAGCTACTGAAGAGAACCCAGGGTTTCAAAAAGTGGCATAACAAGAGGAAAAAACTACTCTTTTAACAAGGTCAAGAAAGATACTCACAATCTCTAATCTGCAATACACTGTAGCCAGTCATCAGTTAGTATAATTCCTATCCTGGGTTTATTGAGAGAAACAGATAATCAATTTTTACTTTTCCTACCCTGATTTGTTGGAGAATAAGGTGGGTATTCATGTTCTTGTAGGCAGTGCAGAAACTTCATCAGTCTATGTACTAAGCTGCTGTTGATATCTAAGGCAGCAGGTCCAACTATTACCCTACATAAGGCCTGTTCGTGCCACCCACATCCTTCAAGGAAAGTTGAAGTTATCTCTGAAACATAATCTGTGTTGGGGGAGGAAAAATCTTAGTATTATCAAGTGTTTGTAATTTCTCGAAGCACGAATCAATTGTTTTCTATTAATAAAAAAACTACTTTTGAACATAAAATCAAATACATAAACCACATGCTTATGTTGTCTTACAGCCAACAGAGCACCACCGTTTATGTTATCTTACAGCCAACAGAGCACCACTGTTTACGTAATCATACAGCTAACAGAGCACCACTGTTTATGTAATCTTACAGCTAACAGAGCACCACTGTTTATGTAATCTTACAGCCAACAGAGCACCACTGTTTATGTTATCTTACAGCCAACAGAGCACCACTGTTTACATAATCATACAGCTAACAGAGCACCACTGTTTACGTAATCATACAGCTAACAGAGCACCACTGTTTATGTAATCTTACAGCCAACAGAGCACTACTGTTTATGCTATCTTATAGCCAACAGAGCACCACTGTTTATGTTACCTAAAAGCCAACAGAGCATCACCATTCATGTTATCTTACAGCCAACAGAGCACCACTGTTTATGTTATTTTAAAGCCAACAGAGCACCACTGTTTATGTTATCTTACAGCCAACAGAGCACCACCATTTATGTTATCTTACAGCCAACAGAGTACCACTGTTTATGTTATCTTACAGCCAACAGAGCACCACTGTTTATGTTATCTTAAAGCCAACAGAGCACCACCATTCATGTTATCTTACAGCCAACAGAGCACCACTGTTTATGTTATCTTACAGCCAACAGAGTACCACTGTTTATGTTATCTTACAGCCAACAGAGCACCACTGTTTATGCTAACTTATAGACAACAGAGCAACATTGTGTTTATGCTAACTTATAGCCAACAGAGCAACATTGTGTTTATGTTATCTTATAGCCAACAGAGCACCACTGTTTATGAAGTTAATAAATAAGCATAAATGAAATAGTAACACTTTGTCACAAGAATAACTGATGAGCTCTAGTCAGCAGAATCATATAACAAGCAAAATGTGTGGTATAGATCCAGTATAGAGATATAAAATTAGTGTGATATCATATCGCAAAATCTTACACGGTAAGTCTTCTCAGTAAAGCTTTGAGGAATAAAGTATAAATAAACAATGAAAAATGTATACTCAATTGCAAGAATTATAATTGTTACATTTTTCACATCAGTTTATTATAGTTACAATTACTCAATTACAAGAATTATAATTGTTACATTTTTTACATCAGTTTATTATAGTTACAATCAAACGGACAAATATGATTCTGACTTTTATTTGACCTTGACTTAATCACGAGTTCAATAAAAGAATGAAGGCTTTAAAACTATGGTAATATAAAACTAAAATTTGATTATGTAAACATACAAAATATTAAGTTAACCTTTGACCTGTATAATTCACTTCAGTTATAAACTCTTTGATGCAAATCTAGAGCTTATGGACTACGAAACACACATTTTTGCATGCCTAACCTCCTCTCACTTTTAATATCCAGCCCAATTTTGCATCAAAGAAGCAACAATATGCATGCCTTTACAATAATGTCCAATAACATAAAGAATTATCTTAATGTTTGTGCTCCCATGTGTCTGTTATACATACATGTAAAAATACTGTGAACCATTCCCCCTTGTAATCATTTCCAACATTAAGTGATAATCCTAGCCACAAAACAGCCATGAGCTCAGAGCTGGAAGGGGGGGGGGGGGGGGCAAGGGAGCAGCTGCCCCAGGGTCTGTTGAGGGGCCCAGCAGTGGGATATTCTAAAGTTCACTAGAAATGCATACCACTTAATGAGCTAAAATGGCTACTGCTTTTTCGTGTATTTATGACGAAATCTGTCACCTAAATTTTTTGTATGAAAAATCAGCAAAAGTTAATAAATAAAATGAAAGGGGGGCAATGATATTACTGACCCCGGGGGTCTATGCTGGCTCTCGACGCTGCTGCATAAGCTTATATTAAAATACTAATTTTCAAACTTAATACAAATGGGGACTCGTCTCCTACACAGACACATAAGAGAAATAAAGACAGACTTTCAAACCACCAAGACACACGATCATGGTATTAAATGCACACTAAATGTACCAGAATGTTCACACACACATGTACCTGTTGAACAAACGTGATACGAAACACTGCATTGTCTCATACACACCCTTCCATGATCCATGTACAAATGTTTCTAAAGATCACGTTTATTACCTCAATATTCAACCTTACTTTTCCTAACCTTTCATTTCATTGCTCAAACAGATCATCTACAGAAAGAATGTACCAATAGCTAATAATTTTGAACATGAGTCTAATCACTTCAGTTTTTCCTATGTTCACACAGGAAACAAGTTCAAATCTTAAATATTCACAAGACTAGTATCTAAGGTGATAATAGCAACAAATTAAGAAACTAGGGATTTATTCTACTTTAAAAAAATCTATCCTTGAAGCACAGTTGTTTTTCATCATAAAGTTCTAGTCTTATCTAGCCAATCATCAGGAAGCTCTATCTTACCTAGCCAAACATCAAGAAGCTCCATCTTACCTAGTCAAACATCAAGAAGCTCTAGTCTTATCTAGCACATCAGGAAGCTCTATCTTACCTTGCCAGTTATCAGGAAGCTCCATCTTACCTAGCCAAACATCAAGAAGCTCCATCTTACCTAGCCAAACATCAGGAAGCTCTAGTCTTATCTAGCCAATCATCAGGAAGTCTAGTCTTATCTAGCCAATCATCAGGAAGTTCTAGTCTTATCTAGCCAATCATCAGGAAGCTCTCTCTTACCTAGCCAATCATCAGGAAGCTTTAGTCTTATCTAGCCAATCATGAGGAAGCTCTATGTTACCTAGCCAATCATCAGGAAGATCTATCTTACCTAGCCAATCATCAGGAAGCTCTAGTTCATACATGTAATCAATGCAGAAAGCTGGAAATCTTTCCACCATTACATTTTCTGTCAACCACGTTAAATGGGCACTCCAATCAAACACATATGTTCTTCGTTGATTACAATTCTCAGGAGACAGTGGATCAAAGAGCGATGATGTCAAATAATTATATGTGTGACCACTAGATGGAGCCACTCCCGCTCTTAGGAAGACAGCATTCTAGAATAAAATCAACAATAATTACACACACAGAAAATAACATATTAACAAACTATTGACAATTTTCTAATATTTTGATAAGTTTATATATATCAATAGAACAGGTGGATATAAATCTTTTTAAGTCTTCTTTTCATAATATTTATTAATTTATTTTAAGAAAAGGAAATATTACAAGTTTAAATTAGCTATTAAGATAAGAACAATTTACAATCCTTCCAATAACTTAGTCAAAATGAGTACAGAACATCTTAGAGAAAATAAAGACAAACCTGTGCAATACTACAATTCAGTTGTATATGGTTAGTTGTTGTTTTATTATTAAAACATATGCACATGACACCTACTTTGGAACAACCTGCTTTAATATCTATAATTGTATCATACAAATAACTTCCGGTTCTGCATTTTGTTGGTCAAGTTTTTTGTCGTCTAAAAATCGTGACTCAATTACCATAAATTTTTCACCTAAAAAGTTTCATTCTTTATTTCTTTAGTCCGAAATTATTAATTATGGAATATCGGCAGACCTTTTCTTCACAAACACACAGTAAGAAGTTTGCAGAGGATGTATACCATACATGGAAATATTTCCCACAAAAGACTAGGGATAACAGAGAAATATTTTCTTAACATTAAGGAAGCCAAAAGAAGAGGAGGAAGAAAACTTATGGTCACAAGGAGGCTGAAAAACATAACCTTATCCTGAAAAAAATGTAAGTAGATCAATAGAACAAAGAGTTTCAACCTTTGTCAACTCAGGTGGTATATTTCTGAAGTCTTTTTGTCCACAGACACATTCTCCGAGGCCATGCAGACTCGCTCCTGTTACACCCATCTGAACATTTACAAAATCATCACCTCTTGATGTCATTTCTAGGGCTGTGCCGTACTGTTGAAGAACAGCTACTGGACTAAACAGGACTTTGTTTCCACTAAGCTGTGAAGTTCCCTGGACATTGTCTGTTAGCTAAAACAAAGAGCAGGTCCTGTTATCATTGAAATTTATTTTAAGTTATCAACCAACATTTAGTGACATATAGTAAGTTAACACAACAAAAGTTATTGTTATAGATGTAAACTCCATTCTTACTCTATGTTGAAGCAACAACATGGTTCCTTTTGGTTGGTATTATAAACAAAGACCTACGTAATAAAACTTCTCCATGTTTTTCTTGTAGTATACTATAATATTAATTTCTGATCAGAGAAAAAATAAAGATCAACCTGACAATCAGTTTAGCTAATTAAATATACTTTTCTGCCATTCTTATTTAAAAGATTAGAATTTATTGTTTCATGAGTTGGGTACTCTTGCTGTAAGTGATATTTTGGGTCATAATCCCAATAATATCTTATGAGGTTCAGCCAGCTTAGGAGATATAGATTAGTCCTAAATACATATATTAAGCTAACAATGCAAAACAATCTCTGTAGTAAAAGTATAGTAATGAGAATAATAAAACTGGATATATTATACACTTCAACCAATACCATTAATGAAAATAAAAATAAAGAAATGATATCATATACCTTATTTATGGAATACACAAACACTAGCTGTTGGCTTTAAGTACTGTTATAGATTTATTGTTTGTTAAACAATGTAACATTGGTGTAACCAATTGGTACAAGCAGAGCTTTCCACAACCCTCTTTAAAATATCTTGTGACACTGAAAAACCATTAAACAGATCCAATTGTGTAACATTACATGTTACTCTTTAGGTGTGGAAGTAAGTAGCAAGTTTGTTTTGTTGTGAATTTCAGGCAAAGCTACACGAGGGCTATTTATGCTAGCCGTCCCTAATATAGCAGTGAAAGACTAGAGGGAAGGCAGCTATTCATCACCAACCACTGCCAACTCTTAGGGTACTCTTTTGCCAATGAATACTGTGATTGAATGCAACATTATAATGCCCCCATGGCTGAAAGGGCAAAAATGTTTGGTGGAACAGGAAGATTTTCACATAATAGCTAGTCTACACGGCTCGTCAAACTTGATATACTTCTGTTAATAAACAGAATAATAATTAAACCTTATTCTTACGTTCCTTACCTGCTGTTGTTTTAGGCTTAACTCATGACAAATAGCAAATAATAACCAGTCTATAGTCTAAACTTGATGACACACGTATTCATGTTTGACTGAACAATGGTACGTGTATTTACAGATAGCTCCCATAAAGTAATGAATAAACTTCTGAGCCCTTTACTTTGATAAACTTCTCAAATATCTCACAGTAAACTTTCCTTTGCTTTAGCTATAATTATATAACTTGAGTTTTACATTAAACCCAGCCTCGAGAAGACTAAAGTACACACGTAAAATGTATCACCACACCAAAGCAAAGTCTAGTTGTAATAAGTACTCGCTGTTACTTTACTAAAAAAAATTGTTCAAATCTTTAAGTAATATTTTCTATCATCCTAGCTAGTCTAATGAGAATTAATATACGTCTAAAATAATAAAAGTACACAAGTTTTAAGTTACGTTTTATACGACACTGTTACTCTATCAATCTAGTCCTCCTACTATGGTGAACATTTTTACCTGGTGTCAGGTAAAGCTGTAGATAATAATTCTAATACAGCATTTTGGTAGTTTTGTTTCTGAGTACACAACTTGCAATTGTTGTGAAAAATAAAGAAAAAAATGTTAAAAAATAACTCAACAATAGGTAAAAAGCACCTTGAAAATGCAAGAAAGTTTGTCAACAAAAAGGCCGAACTGAAAGATCCTCTTAGCATGTTGCCGGCAAACTTCACGAAAGTTTTCTGACTGTTCTGGTTGTTCATCATCCCAGATAGGTAGAATTTCTGGAACAAATGACCAGGCCCAAGACCCCCATGTAGATTCATTTTCAACTGCCTCACCATCTGGGGAAACATTACAAAGCAAAAATGTGTTAAGTTACTTTTAAAGGTGCAATAGTTTTAAATGTCTTTTTCTTTTTGTCTTTCCACTGGATTTGAATACTAAAAACAACTAAGTCTAAATCTGAACAAATTAGTTTTCATAAGTATGATTAATTCAAAGTTCAGAAACCGTTAGCAGTATTAAATCAATTATGATTTTACATAAATACTCTGCTGTCCAGTTTATATATATATATATATATATATATGCATAAACAATTTTAAGCTTTTTTTCAAGCATATACAAAAGGTAAAAACACATGGAAGTATTTTTAAATTAGTGTCATAAAACTAGAAGCCTCCTAAGAAAAAACCAGAAATGCATTGGATTCATGACTGATGGGAACATTCAACAAGTCCTTAACAATACAAAGTTTTAAATAACATATGAAGAAAATCATTAATGTTTTAAAGAAGGTGAGAATAAGAGCGGCAAATATTAATATGCCAGTAAAGACTTGCGATACATTTGTGGTCAAATTAGTATCTTTATTGCCACAGTATTTCTTTACATACAGAATTTCTAGAATAATACTAAAGAACTCTAATTGCAGACACTGAAACTTACAAGTCCATTTCTCTTAGGCCTAATATTAGTTAAGCCGTTATTAAATATGGCCTATATTCAATAAAAAGATAAATTAACACCATAACTTGTATACTTTTTTGTTTTAGTTTAGTAACAGCTAAACTTTACGATACTTAAAACTATGAATAAATAAACTTGTAGTGTTAGTCTACTACCTAATGTTAAACCTTTTTAAAAACTTTGATAAGCTTTTAATATATTGTACAAAATATCTGCTAAAGTATATTTAAATCCATTAATGAAGTGCACGCACATTTAGATAGTAAGGTGCATGCACATTTTCAGGTCAACAAAAACTGAGTATCGTTATGAAAGATATTACAAAATTTTTTTAGCCTATAATACACTGTAACAAGAAACTTGCTATATGTTATCTATTTAATAGTCTATCATACACTGTAACAAGAAACTTGCTATATGTTATCTATTTAATAGTCTATCATACATTGTAACAAGAAACTTGCTCTATGTTATCTATTTAATATTCTATCATACACTGTAACAAGAAACTTGCTCTATGTTATCTATTTAATATTCTATCATACACTGTAACAAGAAACTTGCT